GGAGACAAGCAGGGCTAGGAAATACCAGCATATCCCTCCCTGCCTATCTATATGCTCACTGATCTGCAGGGGTGCAGCTACAGAGAGTCCCGACAGCAACTCCCACCCTGCAGAGACAGCCTACAGCTCAGGGAAGTAAGGGATGGGGGGAAAGGCTGCAAGGAGACATACACTGAGACACTAAGGGACACTGGGAGACATTATGGCAGACACTGAGACATTAAGGGACATTGGGAGACATTATGACACAGACACATGGGGACACATTGTCCCCATGTCGCCCAGCCAGTGTCCCTGGTGTCTCAGTGCCCCCTTGTCTCCCAGTGTCTCATTGTCCCCATGTCTCCTAGTGCCTCCATGTCTCCCAGTGCCTCAAGTGTCTCAATGTCCCCATGTCTCCAAGCTAGTGTCCCTAGAGTCTGTGGCCCTGGTGTCTCAGTGTCCCCATGTCTCCCAGTGCCCCCATGTCTCAATATCCCCATGTCCCCCAGCCAGTGTCTCTAGTGTCTGTGTCCCCATGTCTTCAAGTGTCCCCTATTTTCCCAGTGTCCCCATGTGTCCCAGCCAGTGTCCCCTAGTTTCCCAGTGTCACTGGTGTCTCTGTGTCCCTAGGTCTCCCCATGTCCCCAGGTCTCCCCGTCTTCCTAGTGTCCTAGTGACACATACATGGGGACATAGACACATGGGAATACTGGAGGACACAGGGAGACATGGGGCATTGAGACACTGTGATACATAGGGACACTGTGATACATAGGGTTACTGGGAGACCTGGGGACACAACACTAGGGGACACTGGGAGACATGGGGCACTGAGACACTGATACATAGGAACGCTGAGACGTGGAGTAATCGACACATGGCGGCACTGGGAAACATGAGTGCACTGGGAGGAATCCATATATACAGCATAATCAAACTAAGTAGTTTTTTGGTGATTTTACAGCATTTTCTCTTATGTCACTCCTTGTGATTTACATCATGTGATGTCACCCATACATATTTAATTATGCAAATTAGTAAGGCCGGTATGTTTTTCCAAGAAAGGTGGCAACCCTAACTACTTTTCACATACTCTTACTTAAGTATGGAAACTTATGAGGGATGTATGGGAACAACACTTGTGTGGACTGGCTGACAATGAATATAGTTAAAGGGACACTATAGTCACAAGAAAAACTACAGCTTATTGAATTTGTTCTGGTTAGTAGAATCATTACCTTCAGGCTTTTTGCTGTAAACACTGTCTTTTCATAGAAAATGCAGTCTTTACATTACAGCCTAGTGATAGCTTCACTGGCCACTCCTTAGATGGCTGTTAGAGATCCTTCCTGGGTCATGGCTGCCTAAAATGCATCCAAACATCCCGTGTTTCCTCCCTCTGCATGCAGACACTGAACTTTCCTCATAGAGATTAATTTATTCAATTCATCTCTATGAGGAGATGCTGATTGGCCAGGGCTGTGTTTGACTCATGCTGGCTCTTCCCCGTGCCGTTTTGTCAGTCTCAGCCAATCCTATGGGGAAGCACTGTGATTGGATCAGGCCACCACTTCTAATGATGTCAGCAGACTGCTTGTTTTTCTGAGTCTAGCAGCATGCAGAGTTACAGCTTCAGGCTTGAAAACAGTAAGATTTTTTACTATATTTATGGAGGCATCAGGGGCCCAGGGGGGTTAGATGGTGGTGTCAACACTATAGGGTCAGGAATTCATGTTTGTGTTCCTGACCCTATAGTGATCCTTTAAGGTAATGCTGACTTTGGCCTCTCTAACACTGTGGCATGTTCCCTTTCTTCTACACTCACTACATACAGCTTTTCTCTGTCCCAGACTATATACCAGGAGCGTCTGCCTGCTAGTAAGAAGGTAAGTAGACAAGTGGACCAGCGAGTGCTAGGGGACGGTCCTTAGAAAGCGTTAAGCGAGCGCATCATTAGATGCATTTATGCCAAGCTCAGGGTGCTGTCTGCATAGTATGCCCTTAGTTGGCCAGCTGCAAGATTGGCAGTCAGTCTGACATGCATTCATGCCAGGCTGGCCTTCTAATTCTGTGGGCAGGCATGTCCTCTTTTTGGGCATGTTCGCCCCTTTTGGCAGGTTACGTGATTTGTGTCAGTGGCACACCCTTTTACCGTGCCCATTGACTTCCTGCTTGACTGGACAGTGCTGTTAGGGGTTATAGATAGTGATGTCGCGAACATAAAATTTTCGGTTCGCGAACGCGAACTTCCGCAAATGTTCGCGAACAGGCGAACCGCCATAGACTTCATTAGACAGGCGAATTTTAAAACCCACAGGGACTCTTTCTGGCCACAATAGTGATGGAAAAGTTGTTTCAAGGGGACTAACACCTGGACTGTGGCATGCCGGAGGGGGATCCATGGCAAAACTCCCATGGAAAATTACATAGTTGATGCAGAGTCTGGTTTTAATCCATAAAGGGCATAAATCAACATTCCTAAATTGTTTGGAATAACATGCTTTAAAACATCAGGTATGATGTTGTATCGATCAGGTAGTGTAAGGGTTACGCACGCTTCACAGTGACAGACCAAACTCCCCGTTTAACGCACCGCAAACAACCGCAAACAGTCCTTTTGCACAACCGCAAACTCCCCATTTGCACAAGGTTGGATACCAAGCTAGCCATGTCCCGTTCCTTGTCCTCACTGATGTCATTGAAGGTCTCTTCCTCCACCCAGCCACGTACAACACCAAAAGGTGACAACAAGCCCCCTGGGACGCCTGCTGTGTTTGGTCTTCCACCTCCTCAAAGCCATCTTCCTCCTCTGACTCCTCTTCTTCAGACTCCTCTCTCTGCGTTGCCTCTCTCTGTGTTATTATAAGGTGTGTTAAGTAGTACTATTCCTATCAGTTTAATCCCTGTTACGTCCCCTATCAGGGGACGTGTATATGGCATCGATTTTAGGAACCGGGAGATGGAAAAAGATGCTTGGTAGGTCCTCCTTCTTCAAATTTGGGGCACTGCGCGTGCAATCTAATGTGCCACCAGATAGGAGTGGTGTGTTAAGTAGTACTATTCTTATCAGTTTAATCCCAATGTCACGACTACTAGTGTGGTCCAGCACGCAGAAACTATGTAAACATATACATAGGCAAGAAAAGGAAAATAAAAGGACAGAGCGTAAACCGGACCTTAGAATGGCCGGACTAATACGCTAGAGACAGAGAATGGTCAAAGGGAAAGCCGAGGTCAAGGAAGCCAGAAAATACACAATACCGTTTACACAAGCCAAGTCAGGGAAACCAGAATTCAGAATAACCAGGGAAAAGCCAAGATCAGGATACCAGGAAATCAGATTCACAATGATAAAGCACTCTCAGGAAACCAGGAACAGGAAACCATGACAGGGCAAGGTACTGGAGTGAGCTAGGGATTTAAATATCACGCGGCGGGACGGCAGCTGCGACACCCTGTTACTTCCCTCTCATCAGGCCTTTTTTAGTCGAATGTATCGCTCACTGTCAGTCCCTTTGGGATCCATCCCTCATTCATCTTAATAAAGGTGAGATAATCTAGACTTTTTTGACCTAGTCGACTTCTCTTCTCAGTGACAATACCTCCTGCTGCACTGAAGGTCCTTTCTGACAGGACACTTGAAGCGGGGCAGGCCAGAAGTTCTATCGCAAATTGGGATAGCTCAGGCCACAGGTCAAGCCTGCACACCCAGTAGTCAAGGGGTTCATCGCTCCTCAGAGTGTCGATATCTGCAGTTAAGGCGAGGTAGTCTGCTACCTGTCGGTCGAGTCGTTCTCTGAGGGTGGACCCCGAAGGGCTGTGGCGATGCGTAGGACTTAAAAAGCTCCGCATGTCCTCCATCAACAACACGTCTGTAAAGCGTCCTGTCCTTGCCGGCGTGGTTGTGGGAGGAGGAGGATTACTTTCACCTCTTCCCCTGTTAGATTCCCGTTGTGCTGTGACATCACCCTTATACGCTGTGTAAAGCATACTTTTTAATTGATTTTGGAACTGCTGCATCCTTTCCGACTTGCCGTAATTCGGTAACATTTCAGGCACTTTCTGCTTATACCGGGGGTCTAGTAGCGTGGACACCCAGTACAGGTCGTTCTCCTTCAGCCTTTTTATACGAGGGTCCCTCAACAGGCACGACAGCATGAAAGACCCCATTTGCACAAGGTTGGATGCCGAGATACTCATGTCCTGTTCCTCGTCCTCAGTGATCTCACTGAAGGTATGTTCTTCCCCCCAGCCACGTTCAACACCATGGGTACCAGATAGGTGACAACGAGCACCCTGGGATGCCTGTTGAGGTTGGTCTTCCTCCTCCTCCTCAAAGCCACATTCCTCCTCTGACTCCTCTTTCTCACAATCCTCTTCCAGCGTTGCCGCAGGTCCAGCAAGCGATGCTGATAAGGCTGTTTCTGGTGGTGATGGTGACCACAACTCTTCCTCTTCCTCTTCATGCTCATCTAGGCCTGATCCAGCACTCTTCGCATGGCACGCTCCAGGAAGAAAACAAATGGTATGATTTTGCTGATGGTGCCTTCGGTGCGACTGACTAGGTTTGTCACTTCCTCAAAAGGACGCATGAGCCTACAGGCATTGCGCATGAGCGTCCAGTAACATGGCAAAAAAATTCCCAACTCCGCAGAGGCTGTCCTAGCACCCCGGTCATACAAATACTCGTTAACAGCTTTTTCTTGTTGGAGCAGGCGGTCGAACATTAGGAGTGTTGAATTCCAACATGTCGAGCTGTCGCAAATCAAGCGCCTCACTGGCATGTTTTTTCGCCGCTGGATATCTGAAAAGTGCACCACAAAAAAAATGCCACACTGCTGAGCTCTGCAATGATGGCATTCTGGTGGTGGCAACAGCATGCGTTGATTGGCGTGCTGTCTGGCTGACCCCGGGTGCCGATGCATGCTGTCTGACTGTGCCACTAGCTCCTTGCGACGACCTCCCCCTGCTTCCAACTCGTCTCCTCCTCCTCCTCTCTTTCTCCCCATCTGAACTTTCCCCCTGTTCTTCTTCTCTTCTAGCGGGCACCCACGTGACATCCACGGACGCATCGTCATCATCAACCGCTTCACTTGTATCTGACAACTCAACAAAGGAAGCAGCAGCGGGTACAACATCATCATCATCACACCGTACGTCCATGTGTGTAATGCTGCCTGACTGAGACATATCCCTGTTATCTACATCCTCTGGCAATAATGGTTGCGCATCACTCATTTCTTCCAACTGATGTGTAAATAACTCCTCTGACATACCAAGTGAAGCTGCTGTGGTGCTAGTGTTGGTGGTGGCGGCAGGCGGGCGAGTGGTAACTTGAGAGGTGCCCGAAGCTAAGCTGGAGGAGGATGGTGCGTCAAGGTTCCGAGCGGAAGCTGTAGAAGATTGGGTGTCCTGTGTTAGCCAGTCAACTATGTCCTCAGAACTTTTTGAGTTCAGGGTACATGGCCTCTGAACACTGGGCATTATTCTAGGGCCAAAGGGAATCACAGCACCACGACCACGACGGCCCCTGCGGGGTGGCCTGCCTCTGCCTGTAATTTTTTTTTCGATTAGTGGTACTATGCGTGCAAGCTACTGTGACAACAGATATGAGTGGCACTGTGCAGTGGCAGAAGTTGGCAGAGTAGACGCTGTAGGCCTGACACACACGCTTGCAGACAACTAACTGCTATTCAATCTATTACAGTCAAAATTGTATTTTTTTGTTTTAAATGTACACTACTGTTACACCAGATATGAGTTGCACTGGTGTGACACTGTGCCCTGGCAGGCCCTGAAACGCACACTCGTGAAGGAAACTGACTGCTATTATATTACAGTCAAAAAAGTTTTTTGTTTTTTTAAACGCAAGCTATTGGGACACCAGTGAGTGAGTGGTGGCACTGGGCAGGCCCTGAAACGCACAATCGTGAAGGCAACTGACTGCTATTATATTACAGTAAAAAAAGTTTTGTTTTTTTTAAACGCAAGCTATTGGGACACCAGTGACTGAGTGGTGGCACTGGTCAGGGCCTGAAACACACACTAGTGAAGGAAACTGACTGCTATTATATTACAGTCAAAAAAGTTTTTTGTTTTTTTTTAAATGCAAGCTATTGTGACACCAGTGAGTGAGTGGTGGCACTGGGCAGGCCCTGAAACGCACAGTAGTGAAGGAAACTGACTGCAATTATATTACAGTCCAAAAAAGTTTTTTTTTTTTTTAAATGCAAGCTATTGTGACACCAGTGAGTGAGTGGTGGCACTGGGCAAGTGGGCACAGTATATGCTATGAGCCTGACACACAGGCTGTCAGGCAGGTAGGCAACTGCAATTACATTACACAGAAAAAAAAAAGCAGACTGATGTTCTAGCCCTAAAAAGGGCTTTTTGGGGTGCTGTCCTTACATCAGAGATCAGATGAGTCCTTCAGGACTGTAGTGGACACTGAATACACTAGCATAGCTATCAATTTCCCTATCAAATCAGCAGCAACTACACTGTCGCTTCTCTCACTAAGAATGCAGCTTCACAATGAATGTAAAATGGATGCTGTCCAGGAGGTGGGAGGGTCTGGGAGGGAGGGTCTGCTGCTGATTGGCTGGAATGTGTCTGCTAACTGTGAGGTACAGGGTCAAAGTTTACTCAATGATGACGAATAGGGGCGGACCGAACAGCGCATATGTTCGCCGTCCGTGGCGAACGCGGACAAGCGATGTTCGCCAGGAACTATTCGGGACATCACTAGTTATAGATTTACTTGAAAGATGAAAACATAAATTAGAGGGAGATTAGCATAGGGTATGTGTTTTCTTATAGCTGCTGTTTTCTTTCTCTCCAGCACCATCTCCATCAGATACATGACGCTTGGGAGTGTTTTAGTGTTTTTGGTCGATATGATTCTTTAATTAGGCCCGTCATAAATGTCAGCACCAGGCCCATTGGGCTGTTAATCTGGCCCTGTATAAACCTTAAATTTGTTTCTGATTCAAATCTATCTATCAATCTATCTATCTATCTATCCATCTATCCATCTATCTATCTATCTAACACATATTCTGTATAACAAAACGCATTATACAAAGAGCAACACATTAAACTATATTGACAACACACCTAATCAAGGCCGGTCCAAGTATTTTTGGCTACAAAGGCGAAAATGCATTTTGCCGCCGTACACCCCTCCCTGTTCCCCCAAAAAACTGCATCTTCACCTGTGTGTCCCTACTCCCCCCTCTTTTGTGTTTCTTATTCCCCCCTTTTGTCTTACATTCCCCTTTAGTATATATTATCCCCCAGTTTTTCCCTTTGTGTGTCGCTTACTTCCCTCCAGCCCCTTTGTGTGTTTCTTTCTCACCCCAGCATGTTTGTGTGTGCACCTTTCTCCCCTTCTTAACCCCTCTGTGTGTCTCTTTCTCCCCAGCCCCTCTATATTTCTCTTTGTCCACCCCCAGCCCCTCTGGTGTCTCTCCCACAAGCCTCGGTCTGTCTCTTTTGCCCCCCAGCACCGTGTCTCTTTGTCTCCCAGGCCCTCAATGTATCTCAGCTCTTCCAAATGTCTCATTCCCGCAGGCTCCCATGTGTCTCAATGCCTCCCACCAGCCCCTTCATGTGTCTCATTCCACCAAAGCCCATCCATGTGCTCGTTTCCTCCCCATCATCCCCTGTGTCTGATTTATCCAGCCCCCCATACTTCTCAATCCCCAAGCCTTCCATGCGTCTCAATCCCCAAGCCCCCTTTATGTCTCATTCAAACTGCCCACCCACGTGTCTCAATCCCCCAGCTCCCCATGCATCCCAATCCCCAAACCTCCTTTATGTCTCACTTCAACTGCCCGCCCATGTGTCTCAATTACCCAGCACCCCTATGTGTCTCAATCCCCTAACCCCCCCTATGTGTCTTATTCCCCAAGAACCCTCAAAAAGTCTTAATCTCAAGTGTAAACATCAGGGGAGGAGTTTGTTTCTCTCTCCTCGGTCTGACAGGAAGCGCTCACTGAGAGCGCCAAACTGTTTCCTGTCAGACCAGGGAGAGGGAAACAAACTCCTTTCCCTCAGTCCGCGCTCGGCCACACTACACACAGAAACCGTCAGGATAGCAGTGCTGTGCAGTACGCTCCCCACCTGCTGGTCACCCTAATCCTGCGCTCCATAGGCTCCCACCTGTGACGCCTTATGGTAGGGCTGTTCCTGCACTTAATGCTTTGAACTCACCCATGTCACTCCTTTATTTCATCAGTGTACATGTTATGCCCAAATCATGTCACACTAGTGCCATCCGTTTTATTTTCCATCTTTTTTTTGCAGGAGAACTATAAAAGCTTAACTAACAGAAAAGTGGGGAAAAGCTAAACATTGAGCAACCAACAATAACATTTCCTTCAGCGGAGGAACTACCGCCAGTGCAGCTGGTGTGACAGCACTGGGACTCGCACAATGAGGGGGCCCGTGCACTTAGACCACCCGATGGGCATGTGTGTTCAGGCAAATAAAAAAGAAAAGGAAACAGGTTGCGCCAAACACTTATGATACTTTTAGATAGTACAGTTATTATAGTGATAATGTATATATCCTATAACTAATAATAAAGGAAAAAGTAGGGAAAAACTATAAAAAATTGTAAGAAATAATAGTTTTATAAAATCGAATAAAAGATTAAATGAAAAATTGAAAATAGAAAATTCTAAAAAAATGTTTTATTTCTTATGAGATGCACATGTATTGAATCTCGTTTATCTTAGGTATTTCATATGAGATATAATCGAGCCAACAGACGGCTCCTTGTATGTGTGTGTAATTTATACAAATGACTACCTCTGAATTGATCACAAACAATATCACACTGTTGTTGTTCTCTCTGTCATTCTTTTGTCATTTCATATTCTGGAATTTATCCATTGGAAAACATTGTACTACCTACCACAACCACTACCCTTATCAAGAACTATTTACAATATAGCAAGGAATATTTTTTGTGACTATATAATTAGTATCACTATCATAACTGTACTTTCTAAAAGTATCACAAGTGTATAGTTCTTTGGCGCAACCTGTTTCCTTTTCTTTATTATTTGTTTTATGCCTTTGCATTGTTAGGGTATCCAACTAACAGCGTTTGCTGCCACCTTTGGAGTCAGCGCTGTATCTACTTTTGCTTTTATGTGTCTCCAGGGGCCCGGTCGCACTGTTAAAGAGCTGCACATTATTTTATCCCTTTACAAATATCTATCTGGCAATTTGTCCATATCAGCATAGAAAAGAAAAATATGTACTTCCTGAATTAGTTCAGCAATGGCAACAGTGTTGATTGGGATTATGTGAAGTTACAATACTTTATTCTTTATTCTCTGATTCTCCCAGTGCGAGTAAAGTTTCAGCATTACAAGGTTAAGAGTTTCTGGATCTCAAATGAACACGTAATTTAGACAGTCAGTTGGATTGTGTAAGAAAATCCTTGATATAGAAGATTTGGGAGTAATTATAGATAATCAGCTTTGCAACAGTCAGAACTGCTAGCAGAATTATACTATACATAAATGGATTGGAGGGTGAAAAGTAGAATTTTGTCTTTTTTTATTATTATGATAAATACTTAGGATTAGAGTTGAGCGGACACCTGGATGTTCGGGTCCGGCGGGTTCGGGCGAACTTTGAAAAAAGGTCCGGGTTCGGGCTCGAACTTGACCCCGAACCTCATTGAAGTCAATGGGGACCTGAACTTTTGGGCACAAAAATTGCTCTAAAAAACTCCTGGAAAGGGCTAGAGGGCTGCAAAAGGAAGTAAACTGGGGGTAAGAGTAGGACAAGTGCCCTCCAAACAAATGTGGATAGGGAAATCACTTATAAATAACATACAATAAGCAGCCGCTTAGTAGATAACTCCCTAATTCCCACGGTATTAGGGAGCTATCTACCAAAAGGCTAAAAGACCTAAATTGGTCTTTCAGCCACATTTACTAATACTAAGTAAATATTACTAGTTAAATATTACTTAGTATTAGTAAATTCAGGCCCTACTCGCTATACCGCAAGTAGGCGTGTGTCTAGTAAACAGTGAGCAGTAAAAAACAAAACAAAAAAAAACCTATTGCCCCCACCCCTGTGCGACGGGTGGGGGCCCTAAATAAGAATGTGGATGGGGGGACCTACTGTCCTCCCCCCTCCCCCACCCCTGAGTGGCAGGTGGGGCCCTAAATAAGAATTTGGGGGGGACCTATTGTCCTCCCCCCTGGCCCCCACCTCTGAGCGGTGGGTGGGGCCATAAATAAGAATTTGGGGGGGACCTACTGTCCTCCCCCCAACCCCCACCCCTGCTTGGCGGGTGGGGGCCCTAAATAACTGTAGCGGAGATGCAATATTCCCCAGGTTATCTCCGCTTATAATCCAAGTGAGGCTCAGGAACAAGTAAATAATAAATCCATAGGCAAAGTTTCCAGCAGGTAAAACAACAGCAATATCCCCACAGCAATCCCAATAACTGGACGACACACAGTTTCAGGAGCAGAACTGACAAGCCTTTAATCACAGTCTCCTTATAAAGCATGCTCCCATGCAAGGGAGGTATTTACAGTAATTATGACAGTAGCCAATCCTGTCCTGGTAACCTCCCACACCTCTCCTCCCCTCAGCCAGCATCATAATCCCCTTATCCAGCACACCAATTCCCCCCGTTTCTGGATGTACCCCTAAACGTAGGGGTACCACTTTAAATCCTACATCCCCGGATACCCCTGATCTGGGTGAACAACATATCCAAAAATCACCCAGATCAGACCAGGGGTTCGGGAAAAGTATGGAGGGAATAAAATGACCGACCGCACGAACTGAGATAGCCGAATCGGTTCCATGTGAATGGGCCCTGCGGTCGGTCCTGGCATAAGGGAATAAAATACACGAAAACCTCTAGCTATAGAGGCTAGGGAGGGTTCGCCTGAATCCCCTCGTTCGGTATTTTCTATCTACCGAACGAGGGGCCGTTCGGTAGTTTGGAACCGAACGGACCAGGGCTGTGGAGGTCTCAGCGGTGTTCGCCTACTCGAGTGTCCGATTTTAGATCCAGACACTTGACGGCAAAACACCGCTGTTCGGGAGTTTTAAAATGGCCCCCGAGAACAAAGGACGGCTACTTCCTAGTCAATTACCCGTTCGCAACAATGTTGCAACGGGTAATTGAGGACACACTTTACACAGGGGAGGTCTGGTTGTTCGGTATTTTCAATCGAATAAACTAAGGGAATGAAACTACCGAACAATCAAAGGAATACAAGGCTTTAAAACACATAGAAAACTAGCAGATCACACGAATGCAATTATTTCAAAGACATTTGCAGGACAGCCCAGTGCCATCCGCTACAATAACAATAAGGGGGGACCTAATGTCCTCCCCCTGGCCCCCTCCCCTGAGTGGTGGGTGGGGGCCATAAATAAGAATTTGGGGGGGACCTACTGTCCTCCCCTCAGGCCCCCACCCCTGCGCAGCGGGTGGGGGCCCTAAATAACAATAAAGGGGGGGGGAACCTAATTTCCTCCCCCGGCCCCCACCCCTGAGCGGTGGGTTGGGGCCCTAAATAAAAATTGGGGTTACCTAATGTCCTTCCCCGCAGCACCCATCCCTGAGCGGTGGGTGGGGGCCATAAATAAGAATTTGGGGGGGACCTACTGTCCTCCCCTGCGGCCCCCACCCCTGCGCAGCAAGTGGGGCCCCTAAATAACAATAAGGGGGGGACCTAATGTCCTCCCCCCGGCCCCCACCCCTGAGCGGTGGGTGGGGCCCTAAATAAAAATGGGAGGGGAACTAATGTCCTCCCCCCCGGCTCCTACCCCTGAGCAGTGGGGGGGGGAGGCCATAAATAAAAATCCCCCCCCCAGGTGACTAGGGGTCCCCAAACCCCTAGTCACCCCCCAAAAAATTTGGGGAGTAAGACTGAGCTCTGCAGGGCAGGGGAAGGCTTATAAAGCCTTGCCTCGCCCTGCAGTTAGGCTCAGAGCACTCTGATTGGTGGGTTTAAGCCATCCAATCAGAGTGCTCTGACAGGAAAATGAAGAGACTGACAGGTAAGTCTCTACATTTACCTGTCACAGCACTCTGATTGGTTGGCTTGAAATCCACCAATCAGAGTGCTCTGTGTCATTTTACACAGCGTGGGAAAGTTCTTTGGAATTTTCCCACACTGTGTAAAATGACACAGAGCACTCTGATTGGTGGATTAAGTAACCAGAGTGTTATGAGTCAAATTACACAGCGTGGGAAAATTCTAAAGAACTTTCCCATGCTGTGTAATTTGACTCATAACACTCTGATTGGTTACGTAATCCACCAATCAGAGTGCTCTGTGTCATTTTACACAGCATGGGAAAGTTCTTTAGATTTGTTTCACTAGTTATGGAAGATGACATTTTAAATGAACTCCATTTGCCGCCTCTGTCAATTGCATTGTTCATGAATCTAATTAATGTTTGACGCTCCAGCGTTCGAATTCCTGCACAGAGATTCTCCTTGTGCTTCTCAAGTGTACGCGGTTTGTTCATGTACATCCTCTTCTTTGGATATCACCACAGGAAGTAATCTGGAGTTGAAAGGTCAGGCGATTATGATTAATTAATCTGGGAATTTCATAAAATGATCTGCTTACCAAACAGTTGTCTGAGGAGGTCCATTGTGGCACTGGCTGTAGGGGCAGTATTCCCCATCCTGCTAAAACCACATTACAGAACGCTTTTCCTCTTTGCGTCAAAGTAATGGACCTGCCATTTTGAAAATCAAATTCCACTATTTTATAATTTATGCAATATCCCACCTTTTCCAATTCATTTTTGTTTTTTCATGTTTACATTTTTATTAGAAGCAAGAGGGTTAGATATTTTTTTTCAATCAAATTGTTTTTCTCTTTTTATGATCGTTACATGTTTTGGTACAAAGTTCCTCTTGATACCAATTTTGGTTAACTTGTATATACAACATTTAGACCACATTCCTATTTTTTGTTTTATTTTATGTGAGTTGTTTATTTATGACATATAATTAACTGTTTTTGTTTTTTTACAATTTAAAGTGATGTCTATAAATCTGATTTAGGGTGGCCATTGCCAAAATGAACATCCTCCCACGGGTACTTTACCTATTCTAGACACTACCACTCCAACTCCCTACCACCTACTTCTCTGCACTCCGCACCCTCCTCATTAAATTTATCTGGAAGCGTACTAAACCCAGACTCAAGTACACACAACTCACACTCCCCAAAACAGTAGGAGGCCTGGCCGTTCCTGATTTCAAACTGTATTACCAAGCATGTCACATGCAACGGGCCCTGCAATGGGCAAAAGAGGGGATTAGCAAACCCTGGAAGGCTATCGAAACACACCACGCAGGTAAGCCCCTTTCAGCCCTCCTGTGGCTGGACCCACCGATTGGTAGGCGGCTAATCCACCAACAGCCCTTCATCACCGCCACCCTAACCGTATGGCACTCACAACTAAGGAAACTACGCCTCTCCTCCTTCCCATCCCCGCTACTGCCTCTGGCGTACAATCCGGAGTTTGAACCGGGGGTAAGACCGGGGAGCCTCCGCTGCGTCCTCCCTCAAACCATACCCAAACTCCAAGACATGACCACCAATGGGAAAATCGTGTCCCTACAGTCGCTCACGGGCACACCCACCCAGCCCTTCATGACGACATTTAGATACACCCAAATTAAGAACTACATCACCGCTATACCACAACATCCCGACGTATATAAGGACCTTACTCCATTCGAACAGCTGTGCCAGGACCCGGAGCCCATGCCCCATAGCATTTCCTACCTCTACTCCATGCTACAACGACAACAGGGACACCCCCACCCCCCTTAATGTCCAAATGGGAGACTGCCGTAGGGGAAACATTTACCGAGACCCAGTGGCACAAGATCTGCGACCTAGTGCACTATTGCGCAATCGCTAGCAAAACCCAGGAAACTGCCTACAAGGTTCTCACACAATGGTACCTGACCCCAGAACGCTTACAGAGAATGCACTTGGACGCGGATGGCCTCTGCTGGAGGTGCAAGAGAGGGGCAGGATCCTTTCTTCACATATGGTGGGAATGCCTACTCATAGTACCGTTCTGGGAGCAAATAGCTGCCATGGTGGCCATGTTCACGGACAATGTCCCACCCTTCCGGCCCGCCCCGTACCTCCTACACCACACGACAACCCCCACATCACGTTACAAATGCTCCCTGACCTTAACGTCACAAAACACCTAATACCTTTGTACTGGAAAAAAGACACAACCCCAACACTCTCCCTGTGGTTTACTAGAATGGAGGAGTTACGAGTCACAGAGGAGATCTGGTATTCAGCCCAAGACCGAACGCAGACATACTTAGACACATGGACACCCTGGTTGGCACGGGTGGGTACAGAGGCATTTCGGACTATGCACTTGACCATGGGGGAAGGAACCGATAATCCCCAGGAGGAGACGCTAGGAGACTAGCGGGACGATCCACACCTGGCCCAAAACGCGATACCTCACTCCCACCCCCTGTCAGAACGGGGTGGAGCGCGGGTTCGGGGGACCCGGGGGGCGGTGCGGGGGCGTGCGGGGAGGGCTACGACACCCGCTAGGGTGCGACCACTTGCGGGGCCCGGGGCGGCCTGCGGCCTCGCGAGCATGGGGGTGAAAGAGCGCCAGTTTTGTGAGTTATAAAGCTCATTAGTTTGGAGGGAGTCGCAGGATGCCCCTTAGGTTATTCCCATCAACACCACCTATACCGCTGGGCAGAACCGAATCATACTAAGGTAGGGGGCCAACACCCCACAATATTGCCATGTAGGACCCTGGACACAAGGTCACTGGGGGGCTGCGCGTCCTGAAGGGACCCTACACACCAGACTGCCACATGTCTCACTACTGCCTAGAGGCTACAGGGTAGGCATGGGGAATAGACAAACAAAACACAACAACGGTGGGGCATGCAAAACCACCCAACGTAGAAATGGTACATATCAAATATAACAGAGTACTAAGCACCACCATGTAAACACCGGACCTGCGAGTCCACAATACACATGCTATTTACTCAAGAAAGCGACCTGCGAGTCGCCCAGACACGTATGTCATAACATGCCTTCCGATGTATAAGCTTCTGTGAATGACCAGAGGGATCTGCGAGTCCACTTTTCTCTTTTACATGTTGCAAAACCAACAAAAACGAAAGGTTTAATAAAAAGATATTTACAAAAAAAAAAAAATCTGATTTATGCAATGTTCAGTTTTTGCGAGTTAAGGAGGATCTCTCTCTCTCCTAATGTCTTTGAGAAAGTGGGTGAAATGCGTTAATGGAATGCCAGTTCAGCACATGTAGGTGGAAAATTCAACATTTTGCACATCTTTCAAACTGCAAGAAGATGCTGGCTTTGAAAAGATTGAAGATCTAACACCATCCCAGAGTGAGCAGTTCTTGTGTGAAGGAGATGTGCCTCCTGATGGATCATTGATTACATTATGCCTATAATATTTGAGAGCTCTTGGTTTCATTGTTTTACAGTGAGACAGTGTTAGCAACATTTTGCTACAGATTGTTTCTGTGGGACAGAATGAGCTTTAATGATTTGACTTTTTATCCAAGTACTGGACTATTAGTGGGGCTTGTCTCATTTTTTAAAATTTGTCTTGCTTTTACATATCCAATACATATCCTCTTTCTTTGATTGGTCTGACAGTTGCAATGATATCTATCCTCTCCTTTCTGTCCTCTAAGCCAAATATATTAAGGGTTTTAATTTGGATAATGTGCTGCTCACATTGAACATCTTCCAATTTATTAATGACATGCTAAATATAGGGTCTCCAAAATTACACTACATTATTGTACATGTGGCCTCACTAATCATCTATCCTACTACCTTCTTATTCCTGTTCTTAAAGGACCACTCTAGGCACCCAGACCACTTCAGCTTAATGAAGTGGTCTGGGTGCCTGGTCCAGCTAGGGTTAACCCATTTTTTAATAAACATAGCAGTTTCAGAGAAACTGCTATGTTTATCAATGGGTTAAGCCTTCCCCCTATTCCCTCTAGTGGCTGTCTCATTGACAGTCACTAGAGGCGCTTGCGTGCTTCTCACTGTGATTTTCACAGTGAGAGCACGCAAGCGTCCATAGGAAAGCATTGTAAATGCTTTCCTATGCGACGGGCTGAATGCGCGCGCAGCTCTTGCCGCGCGTGCGCATTCAGCCTAGGAGGAGGAACGGAGGAGGAGAGATGGAGGAGAGCTCCCCTCCCAGCGCTGGAAAAAGGTAAGTTTTTAACCCTTTCCCCCTTCCAGAGCCGGGCGGGAGGGGGTCCCTGAGGGTGGGGGCACCCTCAGGGAACTATAGTGCCAGGAAAACGAGTATGTTTTCCTGGCACTATAGTGGTCCTTTAACTGTTGTTGCACTGTATTTCCACTGCTTCTCTGCATAGTTTGTAATTATTGTAATACTTGTTTCTTTCTCCAAAGTGACACAAAGTCTGTAAACAAAACAAAAACTTCAATCAATCAATAAAGCATAAGTAATTGTATGTAATGTAAGTAAGAATTCCCTGTGTATAACTAGTCTATTCTTACTGTCTTAGGGTCACTCCTTTCTAGGAACAGAAATATCTACGGAGTTTATGTTTTTTTTTATATATATATTTAAACATATAACATTGAGTAACATTTGCTCCCCAGCAAGGATGCTCCTGGCAGGTTCCTCTGTTCTATTTTGTATCAGTATGTCTGTATTCCCTCATCATGCAGTGCTGGAACATATGTTGGCGCTATATAAATACCAAATAATAATAATAAGGTGTTGTAGAAATAGACCATTCATCTTCTTCTTTATCTAGGAAGGAATAATACAAATAATATATGTTCACATTTGTCTTATTAGACATATTAAATTGCAGAAAACCATCCACAATTACTTGACATCTCAGACTGGGTAGGTTTTAGACTATGATTTCTATTTCAGTTTGTGTTGCTGTGAGATTGATTGGCATTACCCAGGATTCTGCAGAGTCTGTTTACTCCCAATACTCTACGTACGGTGCTCTCATGTTAACAAAGAGGCCAGTTTATGTCTATCCCCTTCAAGAGACCAGTTATAGAAATAGAGCAGTGGCTGGTGTTTCGGACTATTTACATGGCAATGTTACGTGAACCAGGCACTTGGAAAATCTCTAATTCTGAGCCTACTGTCCCCATGTCCCAGAGATGTCTCCCTGATTCAGTTAAATCTATCTAGACATCTAAATATATGTGTTTATGTGGGAAAATAAAGCCATCAAGGGACTACGGGAACATAATAAACCATAAAACTAAACTGAGTGGTTTAAATATAGCGGCAGAATCTCACAATGGCATTAGTTTTCTTTCCCATTAATACATGCTTTGGAGTTATGTATACTTTACATTATATTTTTAGGTTAGGGCAAGTGAGTCACCGTCTCATCTATACTGGCTGAAAAGCACCCAGGTGTGAGGACAAAATTCCTAGTCACCATGGCGCACTGGTGCGTGGAGCTGGTCAATGTGCTACTTCCAACGTGGCTTCTTGCTTCTTTCTGCTGTGGGCACTGTAACATGAGAAAGACCTATTATATTCCTAAAGACCTGGGCAGCTTGTTCTGCTGCACTGAAATTCCTCCTTAAACCCTTAAGGACCAAACTTCTGGAATAAAAGGGAATCATGACATGTCACACATGTCATGTGTCCTTAAGGGGTTAAAGGAGACTAGTCATGTGCAAAACCTGCAGAATCAGGACAGATTTTTGCTTACCTGGGGTCTAAGTGGTCCCATTTTTTTGACATACCTAGTTTCTCTCAAAAAGGCTTCTCCACACCAGCATTTCCTAATTGGTATTTCAAGAACAAAATTGGGGTTCCACCACGATTTTGCCATAGGGTGGCCAATTCACTTAGGGTGACTGATGTGTGTAGCTAAACAAGGGCTCAGTCAGGTGCCGTAGCCCTTTAAAAACGCGACTAGGCCCCTGTAATATCAGATGCTGGGAGGAAGTGATGGCCTGTCACTTCCTCCCAGACATAGAGAACGCCACACTGGAGTGAGCAGCTGCAGATCCTGCACAGCACCACAAAGAACATGATATGTATAGAGGAGATAAGTGGCCATGCTTTCTGTACTACAAATGGTTAATGCTGTACTGTGGGAGAGAGGTTAATTATTTCACTACTGAGTTGGGATCTAGTAGCCTATGCAGTGGTGCTGATTGTATAAGATTTTCTGGCCAATATGATTTTTTTTTCCTGGTACCAATAACCCATACTGCATAATTTCCCATATTCCATTAATGTGGTATCTTCTATTATCTGTAACCATTTCGGGCTTGACTGTTTTCCTCTGATGACAATAACCCATTCAGCTCAGTAATGCATAATCTGACATGTTTTACTGCCTGTAACTCATTCTGTGCTAGGTAACATTCTCCACTGTAAGGATTGACCCATTTATTGCTGGATTATGTGACACTCTCTGTTGCAGTAACCAATTCAGTGATGCATAATCTGACAACCTCTAGGACCATTAACCCATCCACTGCTCGATAATCTAATTAATGGTAATTCCATTAATTACCTTGGTGCTAGATAATCTAACGTTTTAGATTAACCATTAACCCACCCTATGCTGAATTATCCAAGTTTCTCTGTTGCCAGTAACTAATTTAATGCTGGATAATTTGAATTACTCTTTTGGCATTAACCCACACAATCCTGGATAGATAACATGTCTGTCTTTAGTACCAATAACCCATTCATTGCTGGGAGGTCATCTAACCGCATTATCCAGAATAATATGTGTATCTGTAAGTGTGCGTATCTGTGTGTCAGTGTGTGTATGTGTTGGTGTGTTTATCTGTGTGCCATTGTGTATCGGTACCTTTGTGTCAATGTGTGTATCTGTATGTGTCGCTGTGTGTATCGGCGTGTGTTTATCTGTATGTCAGTGTGTGTATCTGTGTTTGTCAGTGTGTGTGTATGTGCCATTGTGTGTATATGTCAATGTGTGTATCTGTGTTTGTATGTGCCACTATGTGAATCCATTGTCAAGATGTTTATCGTTGTGTCTGTAGGTGTATGTCAGTGTGTATATGAATGTGTGTGAGTATGTTTATATTTGTGTATCTGTGTGTTAAAGGATCACTATAGTGACAGGAAAACAAATCGGTTTTCCTGACACTATAGTACCGTGAGGGTGCCCCTTCAGTTACTCACCTTATTCCACCACCGGGCTCCCTTATCTCTCCTCCCACGCCGACGTCAGCTCCCCCAGTCTGACGTCAGCGGAATGCAGTGCCGTGCGCGCATTCAAAGTGTCCATAGGAAAGCATTTTTCAATGCTTTCCTATGGATGCTCTGCGTGATGGAGGCATAATATGCCTCCAGCGTTGCAGATGCGCCTCTAGTGGCTGTCCGGAAGACAGCCACTAGAGGCTGGCTTAACCCCAAATGTAAACATAGCAGTTTCTTTGAAACTGCTATGTTTACAGCAGGCAGGATTAACCCTAGAGGGACCTGGCACCCAGACCACTTCATTGAGCTGAAGTGGTCTGGGTGACTATAGTGTCCCTTTAATGTGTATCATGCCATCAGACCCCTGCAAACACAAACATTACATAGAAAATTACCCCTGAATTCAAACTACAAATTTATTTACAAACGCACCCTTTACTCAAACACCAATACTGCACACATATACACAGTACATCCACATTTAAAAGCCAACACTACAAGCAAATGCAAAAATACCCCTTTATTAAAAAGCTAAAATTATAGAAAACCACCAACTGTACACACAAAAGCACCTGTTCCTACAATCTGTTTACTGTCTGTAGAGTTTACTGTCTGTAGAAATTAGTGTATATATAGCAAAAAACTAAATTTGCTATAAAAATAAAACATTACACCCAATTTCTTTGTGGTTCCATGATGTTGGTACAGTATGTCAAAAGGGTTCCATGGGAAAAATTAATTGGGAACCCCTGCTCTACACAGCTACCAATGAGTGGGAAGGGGTCCTGCAGAACTGAAATCTATTTCACAATTGTAGATTATGCTAACATAGTGTACTAATAATCTTAATTTTAGTAATGACAGGAGGCGAGTATTTTGCATTGACTTTCTTTACTTAAAACTCCAGCAGCAACAAGTCAATCGAAAAACTTTAACCAATTAGAAAACAACAGTCATCACAGATATAAGGTAAGATAGCCCCCAATTCTCCGCACAATGTTCTCCCCAGCCCCATAGGCTGGCGTCTGACTCCACCATGAAATCCGGTGTGGGACTAAAAATGGCTTTCCCATTCCAGGCTTGCCTGTGGAGATGCCACCAACGGAGCTCCGTGCATATCTCGTTCATGAGAGGGATCGTCTGGTCGTATGAGATTCCGGATCTTTGGTGTGAACTTAGTCCCTTTTAACTGGAAAAGGAAAACTGTAGAAACTTGAGCATCCTGATAACTTCGAACTGTAACGGATTGTTGAGGGAATCACATTCCGCTTGTAGTCAGTGGAAGTATTCATACAGAAAAGAAGGAGAAATAAGTGAAATTGGTAGTGACCGTGATTCCACATCTCACTCTTGTACATACAATATAATTGAATAATACGAAACTCAAATTAAAGAGTTATTCAGGATATAACAACATCATAAATATCATATCAAACCCTCCAGAATTTTCATTAACTACATTCAAGAGAAAGGACTATAAATTATAGCAGAAGTTAGTACATAGATAAGAGTAGTACAAAATATAGATACAAGGGGAGGGAAACATAAAAAGAGGGGGCGGGGGGGAAATACTCTCCTCCTGTCATTACTAAAATTAGGATTATTAGTACACTACGTTAGCATTATCTACAATTTTACCACATGACAGGAGGCTTCATATTTTGCATTTTTAACGCTATCCGATTAGAGAAAAAGAAGTGTGAAAGGAAAGACGGAAATAAAAATTCTGAAAGGTTTCTTCCCGAGACCTGTCCGCCGAACGCATGATGTCTGAGATAGGAAGTTGATAATCATAGTAATAGGAGTCGTAAAGGGGTCATTCCCTCTCCAAACACCAACTAGACCCTTTGTTCCAGGCCGCGAGGTAGCTCCGTCTGGTTCTGGGTGCCCACAAGCCTCATAGCAGGTCCTTAGTGATGCGCGGTAGACCGTCTGTAGCCCAAGTTCCACTAAAATCGTCCAAGCTACCAGATCTAGTCGTTCTTGTAGTACCAGAGGGTGCGGTTCTCCCTGAGGGCCGGATAGTAGGAATGGAAACGAGGGTAGGAGTAGAGGATGGTTGTAGGGTAGTTCCAAAAGGACCTGGAACCACGCTTTCCTCTGCTGTAGCATTGTCCGGAGGAGCATAGATATCTTCTGGTTGCATACCTGGTTTATACGCCCGCCAACATGGAGAACGGGGGAAAAGGCGTAAGCCCCCAGATTCGGACAGTTCTAAAGGAACGCGTCCACTGCTTCACATTCTGGATCTGCATTAGTACAAACTTTGGAATATCGACTTATGGAGGTGCCAGTCGGTGCTGTCCTTCCAATATTGTGAATACCAGTCCACTGTGACGTTGGATATTCCAGGTGGGTATTCTGCCTGAAACCTGATATTGTGGGAGAGATAGAAACTGTAAATGTCTTTAGTTGCATCTGTTAGTGTCCGGGATCGAGCTCCACCCAGATGATTGATATATTAGACCGCTGAGATGTTGTCCATGCGCAACAGGATGCATCAGTCAGACATGTGGCTGGCCAGACTGCGGATGGCAAAGGAGCCTGCTATCAGTTCCAGGCAATTGATGTGCAATTCTTTCTCCTCAAGTAACCAAGGTCCTCCTGTGGATGATCCCGCACAATGTGCTCCCCAGCCCCATTGGCTGGCGTCCGACTCCACCACGAAATCCAGTCTGGGACTAAAAATGGCTTGCCCATTCCAGGCTTGCCTGTGGAGATGACACCAACTGAGCTCCGTGCGTATCTCGTTCGTGAGAGGGATCGTCTGGTCGTATGAGATTCCGGATCGCATATAGTGTGCCTTCAGCCATTGCATGGCTCGGTCACGAAGAGGATCTGGGTAAATAACTTGTATGTAAGTGGAGAGTAGTCCCACAATCTGAGCAAGGAGACAAAGTTGGATGTGATCCATATTCAGTATCTTCCGAATTTCTTTGTGCATAGTGCCTATCTCTTGCTTATCTCTTGCTTCGGGTTAGCCGAAGCATGCATGAGGTGGAGTCGATTTTAAACCCCAGAAATTGGGAAATTTGCAATGGTTCCATTGATGATTTGTTGTGATTTACCACAAAACCCAAGGATTCAAGGAAGTCTACCACAAAGTTTGTTTGAGATCGTAGTCTTGAAACCGTGTCGTAAAAGAGTAGTAAATCATCCAAATAGATTATGCATCGTATCCCTAGTGACCGTAGGTGAGTCATGAATGGTTTCAGCAGCTTCGTGAAGCACCATGGAGCCAAGCTGAGTCCGAAAGGTAGGCAGGTGAACTG